GTTGTGGAGCACAGGCTCCGGACGCACAGACTCAGCAGCCATGGCTCACGGGCCCAGCCGCTCCGCGGCATGTGGGATCTTCCTGGACCGGGGCACGAACCCGTGTCCCCTGCATCGGCAGGTGTACTCTCAACCACTGATCCACCAGGGAAGCCCCTGACCATTTTTGAAGCTGTGCCTGTGATTTGTGGGCTTTGTAATCCCTTCTTCTAAGGCTACCTACAAGTGAGCAACATAGGTTCTGCCTGTAGGTGAACCAGAGACTTGGAAGCAAAAGGGGGATAGAGTTGAGGTAGGCATTAGAGTCTGGAAAAACAGAAAGCACAGGTCAAACCAACAGTCATTAGATCCCTGGGTTAGACCACTGGTTCTGAAGCAGATCACCCAGCAAGTGTTCCCAGAGAGGGCATGAGCTGAGCCACCGTGAAGGAGGGCATCTGCTGGCTGGAGAAAGTGACTGTAGGGTTGCGTGTCCTGTAGGCACTTGGCCAGGGTAAGGCTGAAAGGCCCTGCAGCCCAGATTAACCTTTATGGTGAACAATGGGCCAAGCCCAGGAAGCTCCCATGTCCTGCTAAGTAACCATGCACTGAAAAAAATTTGGATTTTTAAAAAAATCTGATTTCATTTTAATCGTTAGTTTTTTTCCCAAGTAAAAACTAAGTATATGTCTATTATTAGTGAAAGGCACAGGTATATTGTTTGAGCAAAGTCTTTGGAGATTGAATTTGGGTCCAGAACTCACAAGCTGTGTGACTTTGGGCAAGTCACTTACCATTTCCTCTTCTGTAAAATGAGAAAAATAATCACACCTGCCCCAAGTGGTTGTTATGAGGATTTAATGAGACACTGATACAATGTTCTTAGCAAAGTGCCTGGCGTGTAGTAAAAGCTTAGATTTGAGCTATTATTAGTATAATTATTATAATCTCATCAACCCAGATGGATGGTCTATTAATGCTTTAGTATATTCCCTTTCAATCTTTTAATCACCTCTTTATGTTTTTAAATAGGTAGGCTCATGTTAGAAACATACAACTTTGTGCCAGCTTTTTTCAATTAATAGTCTATCCTAGGTGCTGCATTTATAATGAGATAGAGGTAAGAGGACTGGCTTAGGAATAAGCAGACCTGGGTTAGAATTTAGCTCTACCACTTACATACCCAACTGTGTGACTTTGGGAAATTTCTCAGCTGAGTCGGTATGATAATTGTTACCTTACAAGGCTGTTAGGAGAATTAATAAGATAAAAGATTAAAGGCCGAGGTTGAGGCCTGGCACATAGTAAGTATTCAACAATGGTTGGTTCCCTTGTTATGGGGACAAAAAGTACAGTAATTTTTCTGAGCTTCCAGGGAATGTTTCAACTGCATGTCTCCACTTACTGAAGAGTCTCTTAAAATGTCCGTGGAAAGATCGATGACATGCTTGCACGTTCATTTTCTGTATGATCAACAAATTGTTCAGCGTTCTCTTTTGCTGTGCCCCAGCCCTCAGCCAAATTGCCTCTGAATAAGTTAACTGACACTGCACCTTGCGTCACAAAATTTCTCTGAGCTTTTCCTCACATGTTTCCTCTGATTCCTGAGAGAAAGATGGAAGTACCTGAGGCAGAGACATGGTGTGAACACAGGTCTCCAGAAATTGGTGCTGGGACAATGATCTACCTACCACCCAGCAGTGCTTAAGAATCGATCAGCACCTTTCCCATGAAGAGTTGATAGTCACCTCCTGAACCATGCTACACTGACATCTAAATATCATCTTTAATTTACTAATCATGCATTTATGTTTGAGCTTTTAATTATTTAAAAGGCAATATATAATTCACATAGTTCATTTTACACTGTGTCTGTTCTCAACCATCTTTTTTGATGTTTAAAGGCTTGAGTCAAATAAACCACTATGGGGGGAAAAGAAAGTATTTGTAATATAAAAGCAGTCCTACAAAATGGACTTTAAAAAGACAACATGAATGGACCTAGAGGGTATTATGCTAAGTGAAACAAGTCAGACAGAGAAAGACAAATGCTGTATGACTTCCCTTAGATGTGGAATCTAAAAATCAAAAGAAATGAACTTACATAACAAAAGAGAAACAGTTACAGATCCAGAGAACAAAGAGGTGGTTGTCGGAGGACAAGAGGGGAGTGTGGAGGAGGAAAGAAATAGGTGAGGGAGATTAAGAGATACAAACTTCCAGTTGCAAAATAAATAAGTTATGGGTATGAAATGTACAGTGTGGGGAATATGGTCAATAGCTAAGTAATATTTTTGTATGGTGACATCGTAACTAGACTTATTGTGATGATCATTTTGAAATGTATAGAAAAAAATCATTATGTTGTGTAACAGGAACTAACATAGTGTTGTATGTCAATTATACTTCAAAAAAACCCCAAACATACAAAAACTCATCAGAAAAAGAGATCAGATTTGTGGCTACCAGAGGCAGAGAGTGGGGGGGAGGGGAGATTGGACGAAGGTGTCACAAGGTTCAAACTTCCAGTTATAAGATAAATAAGTACTAAGGATTTATCAAGTTCAACATAATAAATATAATTAACACTGCTCTATGTTATATATGAAAGTTAAGAGAGTAAATCCTGAGTTCTTATCACAAAGTTTTTTTCCTATGTCTTTAATTTTATAACTATATGAGATGATGGATGTTCACTAAACTTATCGTGATAATCATTTCATGTTGTATGTCATTCAAATCATGTTGTATACCTTACACTTATACAGTGCTGTATGTCAAATATATCTCAATAAAACTGGAAAACAAAAGACAACATGGATGTCAACAAGGTGGCAGAATAGAAGGACCCCAGACCTTGTCCCCCATAGAATCACCAATTTAGCAACCATCCATGGACAACGACAACAGTGCCTCTGTTGGAAGCTTCAGGATCCAGGTAGGAGGTTGTGACACCCAGGTTGAGCCCAAAACTAAGGAAAGCTGATTGGAGAAGGGGGGCCAATGGCCCCGGTAGCAGGCCCACAGACTGTGAACCTGACTGCAGATATGGAGGCAGCACCGTGACCTGGCTTTAGTCCCGCCTGTCCAGGGACTTGATGGCCCCACCTGTGAATTCCAGCAGTAAGCTTGCCTGTAGACACCACCAGCTGATCAGCCTGGAATCTCTGACTAGGCTGACTAGTGAAAGTCTTTATCTGCTGAAACCAGCCTGTGAAGACTGGAAGAGGTGACTGCAGCTTCAAATGTACAGACACCAAGCCAGAACTACAAGGATCACAAAGAATCAGGCAAACATGACACTGTAAAAGGAAATTAGTAAAGCTAAAGTAATGGACTCCAAAGAAATGGAGACTCATGTAATGCATGGCAAAGAATTAAAAAATAATCACCTTAAAGAGATTCAGTGAACTACAAGAGAATACAGATAGATAATTAAATAAAAATTTTTAAAAAACATTTTGAAATGACCGTATATAGCAAAACTGAAACAGAGTCACAGATATAGAACACAAACTAGTGGTTACCAGTGGGGAGAGGAAAGGGGGGAAGGGGCAAAATAGGAGTAAAGGATTAAGAGATACAAACTACTATGTATAAAATAGATAAGTAACAAAGATATACTGTATAGCACTGGGAATTATAGTCATTATCTTATAATAAATTTTAATGGAGTATAAACTAAAAATATGGAATCACTATGCTCTACACCTGAAACTAGTAAAATATTTTGAATCAACTATACTTCAATAAGAAAAGAAAAGGCAAACAACCTATGGGATGCAAGAAAAACAGTGCTAAGAGGGAGGATTATAACAATGAATTCCTACGTTTAAAAAGAAGATACATCTCAAATAAACAATCTTAACTTTATACCTGAAGGAAAAGAAGAACTAAACCCCAAATTATCTAAAGAAATAATAAAGATCAGAGCAGAAATAAATGATATAGAGAATAGAAAAAGA